TTCTGCTGGCTTCTGTCTCCTGCTGGCCACAGTCTCCATGAATCATTATCAATAACATCAGCAAGAACTATTTCTTTTGTCAGCATATTAACACCAAATTCAATCTAAAAAGACAGTAAGAATCCTATTTTAGTAAATATACAGTGATGTATTTCCTGTCGGAACTGGGATCATCAGAAATCAAGTTCTTATACCTTGAGGTCTACTAGAGTACAGTTTTGGGGCTGCCATGCTTTTTCCAGGATCTCAAAAATAGCTTGAGTAGAACGAGCCATAATATCCACTTCAGTCTGGCCAATAGTAAGTCCAGCAAAACAGAATTTTGCTTCGATTATTTGCTCCTCAGACCACTGTGGATCATTATTAGCATCATCCTGTTAAGAAAACCAGAACAAATATGTCACATAATTTCAGCTTGCTATTAGAGGAAAATAACCATTAAAAGATACTGTTTTTTTCAAAAAGAAAATACAAGTTTCAAACTAGTATTTTATGATTAGCATTAAAAAAGTGACAGGACACACCAAACCCAGCATTTTAGGTCACAATTCACAAGACACTTCTTTGAGCATGCATTTTCCAAGAATTTCAGAATCCTAAGTGACTACCTAGCTACTTACCCTCACCATGCAAGTAACGTTTATTTTAATTTCTTCAAATATATTGACAGATCTGTTTCAACTGGTGCAGCTTATGCCTAAAATGTTCTTATACCTACATTTTTCTATTTTTATGTACAGTTTGGCTTGTTGTTCTTTAATGTCCCTGTAAGCCAGTATTGTATGCACTTTAGACAAAACAGCTGTTGGACAAGAATGCAAGAAAACATTAGGATGGCAAAACTACTGATAGTGACTGAGATGGCTGGTGAGACACTGGCACTTGCTTGCTTTATCTGTCGGCATTTTAAAAGAGATAAGAGTTCTAGCTTTGTTTAAGTTTGATTAACATCACAGGAAAGGAAACCTACCTTGTAAAACATCTCAATTTTGGGTGGGTAGAACTTATATCCTTCTTTGACACCAGGGTTTCTCTTGAGGAAGGAGCCAGTAGCAATTCTTCTGCACACCCATTCAATCGGGATCATTTCACAGTGAGCAGCTATGAATGCCGTGTCACTGTGTTTCCTGACAAAAGCTGTTTTGATTCCTAAATATAAAGACAGCAGCTTAGTTCCATGAGTAGGCACATTCCACACTTGAAACAAGGGTCACAAAGTGATCTTTAATTTAAAGTACATCTGAATCTTATTCTTTTCTGGACTTAAGGGACACACTGAGTATTTTAAGCCTGCCCTGGCCTTGCAAAAGGTAATCAATGCAGTTATCTCCTACAGGTCTTTAGTTTTGCCAGTTTTATCACACAACACTCACTTGTAGCTCAGAAATCCTATTCTTGCAAATAATTTTGTTCACAAAGCCCTTTTTTTTTAAATAAATCTATCCTTCACAATGTTTGTTTGTTTTTAAAATTAGCAGCAACCAAGTACCAACTGTGCTCTCTGGTGGAAGATTCATTACATATGGAACAGTAATTGGAGGGTTTCAAAGTAAGGGAGCATGGTAGTCTTCACTACTTTGCTTAACAAAGGAGGATGGGGCAGAGAGCAGAATGGCTTTGTCCTCGCTTTTGTTACAGTTATTTGGGGCACTAGATCTTAGTGATTTCTTAGGCAAAAGACAGTAAAACCCAGAAGCTTGTGTACCCAAACAAACCTGTTGCAGCAAGTCAGCATTTTTACATGGTAAGATGAAGGACCCCCTATTAAACACGTGCAGATCAGCATTTTAAGTGCAAAATGGCTCTTTTCAAATTTCACTCTTGAGGAAAGTCCCACCTTTCTCCCCGCCCCAGAACAAGACAACTGTCAAGCCCAATTGACATCTGCCAGAAACAGAAGGCAAAGGAGCTGTATTCAGTCAAACCAAGGAGTAGCTCTATTCCACACTACTTCCAGAGCCATAAAGAAGGAATTAAAAGGTCTTAAATATAGTATTAACACTGACTCTTCAGATTTTGTTGCGTTTCCTTCAAGGGCAAAATGATTTAAATAATCAACTGCACATTAAGGTACTTCTAAATCCAGGTGTTACAGATGCTGCATGGTTCACTACTACATTTTTCATCAGTGCAGATGTGCTTTTGCTGGGCTGACATTAGCTCTATTATAAAAGGGAGAGAAACTTTAACAGAACTTCGTAAATCATCAGCTCTGAAAGAGTAGGTTAAGAAGAGTTGCGCAAAGCAAACAAACTACTTCTACAATAAGGCAGCCATATTATCTGCCATTTACACTCAAAGAAGCAAACTGGAAGAGAACCCCGAAAGGTCTTTTGTTGCTTTAAAAAGCAGCTGCAGTTTACTCTGCATGTTTTGCCACAGCACCTGTAGAAAGTTTGAGTACAACCCATTTATGGATTTTTGACAGGTCTACAGAATGGCTGCTTCACACTAAAAGTTCACATTTCTAGGGCATGAAACATTTTCATTGTTATCTTAACTACTGCCATTCAAAAACTAGGCAAAACATCTCACTAACTGTTCCTAAACAGAAATTGGTAGTTTAAATCAACTGCAAATATAATCAGATACACTGGAGGCTTTCTTTGTACTCCCAAGAAAGCCAGTGACTGAGGATTACACTGAATTACTTGATGTATCTTTGTCTCAGTCCATATTTTAGGAACAACTCACACAAAAACATACCACTCTACAGAAACCATCTGTCTCTGCCTCACATATGAAACATACTAGGACTTCACTGTTTGTCTGAGAGCTATTACCACACCTTTTAACAGATAATACAAATTCTAGACTAACTCAGCTGGTACCCAAAGCGATCTTTGTGTGAATGCTTCAGAGCACACTGTACTATAAGTAGTCTTGACCAAATTTACTGGTGCCTGTATTATAGTACTGTTTGCAGACTCACCACCAGCACAAATTCCTCTCTGCAACTTGCAAACTTCTCAAAGACATTTCAAAATGCTTTCTCAGAGCAAAGCTACTGGCTCCATTTTTGGAAATGCAGTGCAAAACTTACCCAAGTGACTCAAGTTAGTTATGTATTCTGTGATAGCTCACTTTTAGCATCAGAAGTATTTTGAGTCTCTTAAAGTAAGCTTTAAGCTTCTGATACATTCAATACAGACCGATAAATGAATTTGCAATGTGGTCCTCCTGTGTGTTGTACAAGTGTACAAAACTAACAAACTTTATGTTGCTATAACACAACTGAGAAGGGAAAGATACACTGTAATTTAATGTTTTAACATGCATAAACAAATTTCACACAGCCTAGACCTAGTCTGGTAGGGCCACTAGCTAGCAGCGACTTCTATGCAGGCAGATGTAGGCAGAGGGGAGGATTAGGAGTGTGTCCAAACAAGTAGGAAAAACTTTTGTAGTTATCTGCCAGACTAGATTACTGCAAATACTCTCACGTTCCAAATGAACAAGTCGTCCACCCATCTCTGAAGTACCAGAGAGAAAAGCATAACTAAAAACTAATAAAAAGACTAAAAAACCACCAGAGCTTCAAGGCAGGATAAACCCTTATATAGAAACAATGCTGTTTTGCAACAATGTCTGTAACACACGGGCATATACTCTACCTTCAAAATACTTACCCGATTCCTGAAGGAGCTGAAACACACAACTAGTTGTTGTGTTGGAAATGGCAGCTTTCCCTTCCATTCGGTCCTTCCTGGCTGCATTTCCCGCCGTAATTTGGTCTTTGGACTGCATGAGAACACATCCGGGGATGTCTGGCAGCTCATACACTTCTTTCGTTTTACCTTCGTTAACTTTTTTACCAAGTTTCAGGTCTAGAGAAATAATAAAAAAAAAAAAATCAGTTTAGCATTGAAAGGACTTGTTTACTTCCGCACGCACGCCCACAACCTTCGCGTCCAAAGGGGGACCCAGCAGGACCCCGCGCTGCGGTCAGAGAGAGACCACGAGGAGCTCGCTAAGCCCCCACCCACGGTGCGACTTGGCCCCGTTCCCCCCGAGCAGCGAGGCCAAAAGCCATCGCCCAGGGATCCTGCCCAGGCGGCCCCGGCTCGCCAGGGACGCGCGGATTGCAGGCGGGCAGGTCCCGCGGGAGGCAGCAGCGCTGCCCCGGCCGTGGGGAGCCGGGAGCTGCCGCCTGAGCGGTGCAGGCAGGACCCGCGCCGCTTTCACCACCTTTTTATTAACTTTGGGACAAGTCCGGAGCTCCGCGATTTGAGCGGCGCGGGGCGGCAGCCGCCCGCAGCATCCTCTGCCTGGAGCTGCCCGTCGCCGTCTCTCCGGCGGGACGGGGGCAGCCGTGCCCACCCTCGTGTTGCGAGGGAGGCCACCCACAAGAAAAAATATATACATCAGAACTACGCGAGAAAAAAAGTTGGCTCCGGAGCACTTACACCCCGAGTCCGCTAAGCGGGCACCGGCCCCCGGGAGCGGCGACCCCGACCCACCCCCGCGACGGCCGCACATTACCTGATGCTGCGGGGGCCATGGCTGGGGCGGGAGCGGGCGCGGGCACCTAGAGCACAGAGAGAGGCTGAGCGCACGCCGCGGGCTCGGCCGCCGGGGTAAGAAGGGGCCGGCGGAAGGGGCGGGCAGCCCGGGCCGCGGGCAGCGGCACCGCCCGCCAATCGCCGCCCAACGCGGCGGGGCGGCCCCGCCGAGCCCCCCGGGCGAAGCCCGAGCGGCAGCATCTCCCCCCCGCCCCGAGCAAACACGGTCCCGGCCCGCTGCCCAGCCAATGTTGGCGCCGCACCGCGCCCGGCCCAGGGCCCCCCGCGCCCCCTGCCCCGCGGGCAAACATCTCCCCCCCCCCGGCCTGGAGCGCCCCGCGGGCAAACATTCCCCTTCTCCCGGCCTGGAGCGCCCCGCGGGGTCGCGGGGCCGAGGGGAAGCGAGGGGAGGCGGGGCCGGGCGAGGCGGCAGTGCTGGCCGGGGGTGCGGTGTTCGCCCCCCCCGCATGTAAATGAAGGCGGGAGGCTCCCGGTGGCCCGCCGGGAGCCCCGAGCGGGAGGCGCTGTTGGCTGAACGCGCCGCCGGCAGCAGCGCGCGGGAGCCGCCGGAGCGGGGCCGGGACTGGGAGCGGGGCCGCCACGTGCTGCTCGCGCCATGGAGCTGGAGGAGCTGGGCATCCGGGAGGAGTGCGGCGTGTTCGGCTGCATCGCCTCCGGCGCCTGGCCCACGGAGCTGGACGTGCCCCATGTGCTCACGCTGGGGCTGGTGGGGCTGCAGCACAGGTGAGAAGGCGGGGGGCTCGGGGGCGGCTCTGGCCGGACGGAGCCACCGCACGGAGCCGGCGGCTCCCTGTCGGGGCCGGGCCGCGGCGGCTGCCCCGGGGCCGGCCGGGGCCCCGCGCCGGCACGTGCAGCTGGGAGGGCCCCGGGTCGCGGGCGGCGGGAGCGGCTGGGACGGGAGACGAGCGGGCTGGGACGGGAGACGAGCGGGCTGGGAAGGGAGACGAGCGGGCTGGGACGGGAGACGAGCAGGCTGAGGGGGGAAGCGGCGCGGCCGGGGGGGGCCTTCCCGCCCCGGCCGGTCCTTCCGCCCCGCGCCGGCGGGGAGCCCCGCAGCATCCCGGAGGCGAAGCGCAAAGAACGCCCCGGCGCCTCCCGCCCCCTCGGGCCGGCCCCGCTGAAGGAGCAGCTCTCGGATGCCTTTGGACCTGGGCTGCATCTCCCTTGAGTCGCATCCGCTGCCTGGGCCGCGCCGCCGGCCCGGCCGTGCGCGGGTCCCTGCGCGGAGCCCGCGGTGTCGCCGCGTCTCCGGCGTCGGGGATGCGCCCCGCGCAGCGGGATCCGCTGCGGGATGCGCAGAGGGATGCGCGGCAGCGTCCGCCGCCTCCTCCCAGGCACGCCGGGCGCTGACCTGCCGGCAGCTCGGCCTGGGCCGGCTGGCACTCTCGAGATGCTCTCGTTAAAGTGTAACTCACAGAAATCGAGCTACCGAAGCCGAGCAGTACTTGAACATCTTTAGGCGCCTGCTAGCCGTAGTGGATGGATGCATCACCATGATGCAGTAAAACTTCTACGTGGCATGTCTATGGCAATGTACAACAGACCTGACTCGGTGTGATCCGGGTGGATGCAGAGCTGCAGAGCTGAAGTTTGGGTTCTGCTTCCATTTAGTTGGCATCCAAAGTCATAATGCTATGGTCTGACATATACTAATCATTTTTTCAATGGTGCCAGGAAGGGGTATCCTCCTTGTGGGAACACGTGCGCAGCCAAACACACACATGCTCGTTTAGTGTAGTACACGCAGCCTGTATACTGTGCTTATATTCAGAGTTGCAAAAAGTGTGCTAAATAAACACACTCCTGACAGTCTGCGTAGGTGGGCTGCTCCAAGTACACATGCACTGAATAGATCAAATATGTTCTTTGTATTTCTGAGGCCACAGACATGTAAAGATTGCCCTGAAATTGATTTTGGACCAACAATAGGGAATACTTTATGCAGAGATTTTATGTATATTACAGTGGAGTTTAAATACTTTTACTGGTGAAATGCTGCATCCCTACATGACTCTTATATCCTAATAATTAAGTTTGGGCTGCAGGTGTATCATTTCTAAGCTATATATATTTGCCAGTGTCCATCAAAAAAGTTTTTAATGGGAGTGATAGAGCTGCAGAATTCAAGGAACAAAGCTATGTTATTAATAGTCTCATTTTAGGTTGTGCCTTTTTTCCGTAAAGAGGCTGAATAAAGAAATCTTACTTCATTTTTGCTTACAGTTATACTAGTGGACCTGGAGTTTCTTAGTTGGAAATAAAATTATCAATGTATTTTCATTACTTTCCTTTTTATTATCTCAGTTTTTATTGCAACCTTATTTCATGATTTTTCAATATGCATTTTTTTCATATTTTTTCTTTCTGATGGGCACTTGACAATTATATTTAATTTGCATGAGCTTTTTAATACCAGATATCCCCTGTGGAGGACACAACTGTAGATAGTAGTACTACTGTTACGTCTAAACTAAGCATTTCACAAATTCTGCAGGAAGCCACACACCTTAAGAGGTACATGCACTGCCTCTGACTCTGATTTTCTAACTCAACAATTGTCAAAATTTTTAAGAGATGCTTTCTTAGAGACGTAAACATTGCACATGTAAAGTGAAACAATCTGTTCAATCTGTTCAACCTTTGCAGGCACTCCATAGAAGTCTCTTGAATAGCTGAGATGTTAATGTTCCCATTTCCTACTTAAATGTGTCTCTCTAACCTCTTTGCATTTTTCCTACTATGAGGTGAAGAGTTAGCATCCCTATAAGGAAGTAACAGGACAATAGCTATTTTTCTTTCTACTTTTTGGAATGTATGTTGAAAACCAGAATTAAGATTTAGCATTAATTGCATCAGTAAATTTCATTAAGCCCATTGTTTTTAAGTTAAAAACTAAGACATGTTTCTTAACCATAGGCCTTTAAAAATAAGTAAATATAAAAGAAAATTGTAGTAAAGATTAATGGGCCATCCAAGTCTAGGGTCTAAATGACTAACAAATTTGACTGGCCACTAGGAAATACAGTCCTTCAGTGAGGATGTTTGCAAATGAAAACTTGAAACTGTATGCTGGATCAAGCTACCAGAATATTTAAGCATGTATTCAGTGGTGTGTGTGTGTGTGAGTTGCTCATTGCTGCACTGAAACTATTGTGCATGAAAAATTGGAGTGTATATGTGAGCAAGGTTCTTGAGCCCACAAGTAGGTGTATCACGAAAGATAAAGGAGTTGAAATTTCACTAACATGACATAAGCAGAAACAACTTTAAAAGTTGTATTTGGTTTTGTTGGGTTTTTATATATATATATATAATTAAAAAGCAGCTGCTGTTCTAAATCATCTCTACATTTTGTAAGCCAGGGAACAAAGCCACTGCAAAATCCACTGACAGCATGCCAAAATATAATCAGAGGATATGAGTAAGGAGAGGACTTTCTTGGGGGCGGTGAGGGAGGGAGGAGGAGTTACTCTGAGTTACAAATCTATTAAACGTCATTTGAGTCCTTGACCAGGACAAATTTGCAAAGTTAATCTTCGAACAAGTGTGATATCTGTTAACTTTTTGCAAAATTCCCAAGAAAATATTTTTGGCAGTGATACCTGAGTGCATCCAGTGTTGTACTGATTTTTAGAAAGAGGCTTTGAAAGGCCTCTTCTATGCAAGTGGAGGTTCCATTAAGTCAGGGAATACTCCTTGTCCCAACTCAGCTGGGCCCATGTATGAAATTTGTTGAGTAGAGGCTTGGCCAGTGTACTTTTTGATGCCTTTTCTGTTACTGTTCACTATTAAAACCCACATAACAGAACACACATAATTGCCAATATATGTTAAGAATTTTTACTTCTCTTTCAATCTAGTTTTTTTACTGGTTCCTTCCAAGTACCTACACTCAGTATAGCATATTCAAAGACCTTCTACAATGTCTTGGCTACAAGATAGGGGTCTTTTTGAAAGGTCGTTTAGCAAGCTGTTGGTATCCTGAGGTACACCCTGAATCTTTCAAACAAAAAGCTTAAAATTGTGATAGCATTTGGATGGGAATTTTCTGAGGAACACAGGTATGCTACAGGTAATGATTGGATATGTAACATATATACCTCTTCATTTAATTTCAAGAACCAATTATGAGTTCAGCAGACCCTCATTCCCAGGTGCAAGAACTGCAGTTTTAAATGTTTGAATTGTCTAAATACCAGATTTTACAATTAGTCATATTTCTGTGTAAAATCCCTATGGAATATATGGGGTAAGATGTTCGTCTAGCTAGTGATTGAGTCTGTGTGCTGTTTCATGAGAACATTCCTGCTATATGTGCTGGTAAAGCATTCCTGAGTACTTTCAGAGACGCTGAATGTGGATGTAGAAACAGTTTTATCTTTTAGTTCTATCTTGGCTTAAGTTTTAGGCCATTCTGCAGGTGCTGACAGCCTGATGCTGCAAAGCTTGCTCCTGCAGGAAGAGAGGAGGAGCAAGGCCTTTTTGCTGTGGTGAGCTCTTATATCTGCTCAGTTGTTTTATATAACATCTTGTAGGGTTCATTTTTGGGAAAGTGAAGATAAGATAGATTTCCATTCTAACCAAGAATTAGGCTGCTTAGATGTACATGTCACAAAATGCATTCAGTATAAGCTCTGATCTTTGGATGTGGAGTAAGTAACTGGAACAAGATAATGTAAGACTTCCCATTACATTAATCTAGCTATGGAGTTGGGGCGAGACTAGGCGTCATACAGCTCTGCAGTAATTTTTACAGGATTGTTCTGTTGGCTTGTCTGCCTATACCTTAAATTTAGCCCCATGCATGGAAGGAGGGCTGTACACAGCACTGGAAGTTCTGACTGGGTAGTGTAGTTCAAATAAACTGTCCTTCACTATCTGCCATGTCTCATATTACCATTCCCCAAACATTAAAAACAAACAAAAAAAAAACCCCGTCTTTTTTGCGGGGGCTTTTTATTAGGTTAGTTTTAATTTAGATCAGTTCTGTCAGCTGGGCAACCACTTGGCCACATAAATGCTTGTGCCAACACAAAGGAGACCTTGCCAAATAAGAAGCAAAGGGTGACTTGGAGGCAGATTCTTTTAAGCCCAGAGTTATGCTGATAGTGCTTGTGGATCCACCATCAGTGCAAGCATTTTTGCTGCCTGAAGCCCATTCTCAAGGTATTCAGCCTAAAGAAGTGTAAAGTGACCCATTCACCTTAGTGAATGAGCATACTTTAGAGAAGAATGGAACTTTTTAATGTAGGTCAGAGTGGTGATACCTCTGATTATCTGCTACACCTCAAAAATTTCAGTATTGCTATTTGAAACAGTGAGGAGAAGATTTGCCCTCACACTAATCTTGATGGCCCTCTGGCAATAATGCAGGTATTTGAGGAGGAAGATCAAAGATCTCTGCTTTTTATAAGATTGATCCTCTTGTCATCATTGCTTGTTGCTAGTTTTGATTTTTAAGATGGTCTATGACGTAATTTATATTAAGATTCCCACAGTCAGTTACATGGTCCGGCTTTTTTGCTAAACAAGAACTACATTTTGGATCTATGTCTTAAGAAAAGCTCTCCTCCCAAACCACTACAGTCCTGTGGTAGTGCCCTGCACATAACCATTTAGCATGTGTCAGATGGTGTCCCAGGTTCCATTTAACTGGCCCAGTTACTGTGTCTGGACTAACTAATGTGTGATTGTAATAAATGCAAAGCTGTGATGACAGCAGA